TTTTTTTTTTTTTTTAGGTGAGTGGCTTTCCTAGTTGGAGGCACCCAGGAAGTTCCAGGAGAGGCCCTTACTGGGAAGGCAGCGAGGCGTCAGGAGAGGGCTCCAGGTGCCCCGTCCCCACCACTTTAACCAGAGTAGCACCTCTTGTATCTGCTTTGTAACACTGTGATTCTGGGTAATCATTTAACTTGAAGAAAAGATTTCTCAGCTTTAAACTGTTTGAAAACCACCTTCTTTTTTTTTAATTCTCACCTGAGGATATTTTTTCCATTGCTGAAAGAAGGGCTGCCCCAGCTGAGTTTTTAGTGTGAATCACCAAGTAGACAGTTGGATGGGGGAGTGGAAGAAGCATTCTAGACAGAAGGAATCGTGAAAATAAATTCCAGGAAGGTATGAAACAGTTCAATCAATGCTCATTTGCAAGTGATGGGCAAACAAAAACAATGTCACACCTACAAAATCAGTGTCACGGGACGCGAGCCCCGTTCCATATTTTTAACAAACTCCCCAGATGATTTTTTTTCACTCTAAACTTCGTGAAGGCTTACAGGCCCATGTGCGTGTTTTCCTGATTCAAATGCACTTCCAGCACACTTACAAATGTGCAGAACCAAAAGCATTTTGGAACGCTTCTTTCATAATAAATAGCTTCTTAAGCACTTCATTTACTCCTTTAGGAATTCAGATAAAAACATCGAGAGTAAGTAAATATGGGGATTTCTTAGTTTCATCCCAGAATGAATGCCAATATTCTACAGTCTGTTTCCCCAGTCATGAGCCCTCTCGGTATCCCACGCTGCCTGCAGCCTTCCCTTCAGGCGTCTTTGAGAAACTCGCTTTGTTGAATTCACAGATTACAATTGCCAAAGTAAGGAGTGAGCTGTGGGAATTGTCTTTAAGCCTCTCAATTTTTAGAGTGATTCGGAAAACCACACTTTAGGAAAACACTGAGTCTCGCACACAAAGAGACCTAGGTGGGTTTTGAAAATAAAAGGATGGGTTAAAAGCATGAGCAACCTCCGATCTTCTGCTTCCCTGTACTGCTCCTTCACAGTGCTTATATAACTCAGGCCCTATGTCTGAGTCGGGTAGAAGACAAGGTATTACGTGCTGTCTTTAAGAAGAGACATCTTCTAAAGGAGATGAAAGCTGTATTTCAGGCCTTGACCTTAGCCAAAATTTGAAGATCATACACTAGATTGAATAAGTATGCCTTTGAATGCCTCTGTAAGCTTGGCATTGTGCTGGGCCCGGGGATTCGTAGGAGCCAGGCGTATCCCCTGCCTTCAGAGGAAATGGGTAGACACACCTACAAAGAACTGACAATAACACATGTAAGACTGAGGCAACCTCTGTAAAGAACAAATTTTTAAAGTGTCCTGGGCACTCTCAGGAGCGGCAGGTGAGGAAGCAGCAAAAGCTTCATAAAAGAGGTGACACTGGAGCTGGACCTGGAAGGATTTTGATGGGTAGAGGTGAGTTTTAGAAAGTGCCTTTCAGTTTAAGGAAATGACATAAGCAAAGGGTATGTATAGGGTTTTCAAAGCTCATTGTTTACTTGGTGAAGGTGACTGGTGTGGGGTAACTAGAGCACAGAGTATGAGGTAGGGAAGTTGTGAGACTGAAAAGGTGGGTTAGGGCGAGTTTGTGAATGGTCTTGAAGTCTGTGCTATGGCAATGGGAACTTGGGAATTACTGTTATGAAATCAGATAGTTAAGTTTTTTGCTACCCTGAGGAACTAAACAGCAGGAAACCTCTTATAGATTGGGTTCCAAACAGACTAAACACGTGTGGTCACAATAGGCCTCGGATAAGCCTTTCTCCTGAGCCTCCTTACTCTGGGTTTCTAGGAATCTGGTTGACATGTGGAGAGCGCTGAAGGTGGAGCTGCCCAGCATAGCCGGGATTCTGCCGAGGCTCCTGAGGAAGCTGCAGAAATGCCATAACGAGCCCACCCAGGAGAAGATGGCCTACGTGGCTGTTGCTGTAAGCCGTGGAGCTCTCCCCTCCGACTTCAGCCCGCATGCTTCCCTCTTAGGATGACTGTTCCAACACCCTATCTGGAGAGTGTTCCTTTTAGCTCCTCTCCAAGTTTGCTTCTGTCATCCACTTATAAGCCTACGGTCTCACTACCAACTGATTGACATGGAGGGGCTAGGGAGAGGGAAGGAATCAGTACGAGGGAAAGAAATAAACATTCTTTCCCTCATCCTTTATATATATATAAAAACTCTTAACTATGATGATGATGTTATTTATATATATAAATATAATATAAACTTGGGGGGGGAAATTTCAAATAATACAGAAGAATACAAAATAGAAAGCGAAGTTCCTCCTTAGCAGAGGTGTGCAAGCCTTTTCTGTAAAGGACCAGATGGTAATATTTAAATAATGGCTATACCATCTCCCTAGAAATGAACTTTTTAGAAGTGTTTATACATATATGAACTTTTTGGAAATGTATTTGGTATATTTTTATCCCATTTTTTCCCTTTTAAATAGACTTTATTTTTTAAAGCAGTTTTTTACAGCCAAGTTGAGCAGAAAGTACCGCGTTCCTGTGCACTCCCTGTCCCCTACACACACAGCCTCCCCACTATTACATGCACTTTTTACTTTATTCTCTTGCCTATTAGCTTATGGTTCAGCTTTCCCTGGCCTAAGTTACCATCACACTGTTTTTTAGCTTCTAGAAATATTTTGACATCTCTAGTCTGCTATTTTCTCCTCTGCTATTCTGGTTCTTCTGGGTTTATGCCTTCTTAAAAATCCCCGTAATGTCACTTTAGTGTAGTTTTAGGAGTTAGGGCAGATAAAACTAATTATATTAGTCTATAAAATTGTGTGTGCATATAAATACATATATATATATATAAGATCATGATACTTTTTTTTTAAATCCTCACCCGAGGATATTTTGTCCATTGCTGTATCAGAGAGAGTGGAAGGGGGACAGAGAGAGAGAGAAACATCGATGTGAGAGAGACACATCAATTGGTTGCCTCCTGCTTATGCACCAACCAGGGCCAGGGATGGAGCCTGCAACCGAGGCACATGGCCTTGGCTGGAATCAAACCCAGGACCCTTCAGTCCGTGGGCTGTTGCTCTAACCACTGAGCAAAACCGGCTAGGGCAGGATCATGATACTTAAACTGTTTGATGGCCTGCTGTTTTTTATTTAACAGTACATGAACTGCTTTCCATATCTATGTACTAGGCTCTCTGTTCTCTTTTTCATGGGTGCATAGTAATCTAACTTTTTAAAAAATAGGTAATACATGGTACAGAACCATTTACTTTATTATCAAATTTCATATTAGTGAACATTTTGACAATTTTTAAACTTTTGCCATTGAAACAGTGCTGCAGCAAACTTAACCATGCAGACGTAAATTTTGCTATACCGTGCATACCAATCATTTCCTTAGGACAAAGTCCACTGAAGGGGAATTTCTAGGTCAAAGGGTGGGCTTATTTAAACTTTTGATTGTTTTCCCAGATGGTCCTTTAGAATGTTGTCACCTGCCAGTGATGTGTGAGAATGCCCGTTCACCCTCACTCTCACCCCTACGGGCCATGTCTGAAAATGCCGGTTCACCCTCACTCTTATCACATGGCCAGTCTTTCCATTGTTGCCTAGCTGATAGGTGAAAAATGAACATGTTCTAATTATAATATTATTATTGGTGAGGTGAAACATTTGTATATGTTTTTTGTTTGTTTGTTTGAATCCTCACTCAAGGATGTATCTTCATTGATTTTCAGAGAGAGAGGAAGGGAGAGACAGAGAGAGACAGGGGGAGGGAGGGAAACATTGATGTGAGAGAGAAGCATGGATCAGTTGCATCCTGTACATGCTCCGACCAGGACTGAACCCACAGCCTAGGTTTGTGCCTGACCTGGAATTGAACCTGCAACCTTTTGGTGCGCAGGACAGTGTTTCAACCAGCTGAGCCACCTGGCCAGGGCTGTATATGTTCTTTAATTGGCTATTTCTAGTTCTTCTTTTGTGACTTGTCTGCTCATGTCCTGTACACCAGTGCCTCTGTTTTAACATGCACACAAACCACAGTCACCTAGAGATCTAATTGAAATACAGATTCTGAGCCGACCGTCTAGGGCAGGGCTTTCGATCTCCATTTCTAACCAGCTTCTGATGGCAGTGCTAATGGTGCGTGGCCCACACTTTGAGTAGTAAGCCTTAACATTGTTTTCTTACTGATATGTGAGAGCATTTTATATATCAAGAATATTACTTTGATGCAAACACTTTTCCAGGTTATTTGTATTCTAACTTTGTTTATGATAAAGTTTGCCCCCACATTTTATTTGTATGCAGTCAAATATGTTAATAGTTTCTTTTATAGTTTCCTTCTGGATTTCAGGGCTCTCTCTCACTCTCTGGTAACTTTTAATGACCACCTTACTCTGATTCCTTCCCCCCCTTACTTTCATGTCCCTGCACTGAGTACCACCACTGTTCTGCCCATGGGATAGTAGAACCAGAAAGCATGTTCTGGCACAGACAGAAGTCAAGCCACAATAAGGATTAGGGCCACCATGTTCAGCTCTGCTGTGTGCCTTTTCTACCACAGGCAACAGATGCCCTCTATGAGGTGTTTATGGGAAACCAGCTCCGAGAAGCTGTGTTCCAACTCTTTCCTCAGCTTCTCATGACACTGCTCATCCAGATTCACCACAGCATCGGCCTCACCATGTCTGATGTCGCCGTCCCAGCTGGCCTGTACACAGAACAGAAAATGTCTTCAAAGGTCACCCCTCTGTGGTACTTGCCCATTGTGATTTTATTGACCTTACCTAACACTAAGCACTGGGCACTGAAGTGGACACAAGAATGGCCAAGATGTGGTCCCAACTGTGGGAGAGCTTATAGTCTGCTACCCTCATGAGACATCAAGATGAAATGCCCAGGAATTATTCTGGCTCTCATTGGTTGTCCTTGGTTTTATTGGTGTCAAGGTAAATTAGGCTATCTGGGTCCAGGTAGCCTAATAATGCCTAATAATGCAAAATAATGTGCGATATCATGCCAGCTTTTTTTGATAAATCAAATAGAGACAGAGACCAGTAAACCCACCTCCAAAACCATACTGTTCCAAAATTGGACAGTTCCTCATTTCTGCTTTATTGCATAGAGAGGTATTTTTAGTTCCCCATTAGGGTATTAGTAGATACTTCTTAGTGTTTTTGTGGCAAATGGATTTCTTTTAAAGGAAGTGCTATAATGTGGAGTGTTTAAGGACACCTAAGAGTCAGGAGAACTGAGTTGTAAGTCTCATTTATTTAACTAGCTGTGTACTCTGGGCAAATCTTTCTGTTGTCCTGTGCCTCAGTTTCCTTATCTGTAAATGAGGTTAGGCTCGGTTCTCTTACAGGATCCTTTTAGTTTTAAGATTCTCTGATGTTATGTCCAGGATACTAGTTCAATAAGTAGTTTTAAAAAGTAATGGGGTAAATTTTATGGGGTATAAATAAATGGTATCTAAATAAAGCTTTTTTAAAAAGCAGTGGTTATCAGTTTAGCATCCCATATCATTTGTTTCACCATATATTTCTTTCTAAATCCCAGGGAAACAAAATCTAGTTAGATTTCTTTATGCCTATACTTTGTGTGAGGAGCCTTTCAAGTTCTTAGAGCATTCAAAGTCTTTTGGGAAATCTGGAAATCTGGGAGCAATGTTCTTAGAGCATTCAAACTCTTTTGGGAAATCTGGAAAGGAGGGAATTACAGACCAGCAGCTATCAGTGCTTGGCCCTCCTCAGTGAGAGCAGGGTACTTGTGTGCTGGTAAGCTGGAGGGGCCTGGTCTACTTACTCACTGACACTGTTTTTGTTTGCTTTAGCTTCGCCATGCAGGCTACAAAGGCTCTCCTCCTCAGAACATTGTGCTTGCAGGAATTCAACATCATGGAAAAGAATGAAGGATGGACCCTCCTGGCAGGAAAAGATTGCCATCTTCAGGGAGTATCTCTCCTGGCCAAGTAAGGCTTCCTTGACATGCATACCTTTCTCTAGAGCAGCATTGTTTTAATGTATTTCCCCCCCCTTTTAGTTACCACAGCAACCAAGGTAACCTTTTAGATAACCCTCTCATCCATCACAAGGCTGGCAAATACCCATAATGCCAGGCATATTTTTCAGAGGTCCTGGCCCCCCATACCTTCCCGTGCACCTGAAGCTGGGGATACACTTCAGGGGGCCCCAGCCCTGGGAAAAATGCTCTCTATTCAGGAACATTTCTAAGAGCTGCTCTGTCCATGTTCTGTTTTGCAGTGCATTGCTGAAAAGAAATTGCATCTTTGCACATAAGATCTTGTACTTGTTAGTCCCTCTTCTTAACCGAGGGAATGATAAACATAAACTGACATCTGCAGGCTTTTTTGTGGAGGTAAGACTCATTACTTAGAAGCTGGACTCAGGACGCCTATGAAGCAGCAGGACCTGCCTTCCTAGGCCTGTCTAACTTAGTGGCAGGCTGGGATCCGTTCAAACTTGGGACAGAAATAGTTTCAGATTCAAACCTATTGAAATTCTTCTTTCCACATAGTCCTTACTCAGCATTCCTTAATTCCCCACAGTGTAAGATCACCCTCTAATATATGTGCTGTATAATAGAGGTTTTATAGGTATAATATTTTGGAGTTGGTGGGAAGGTGGCTCCTCTCATGAAAAAGGGGCTTAAAGTTAACTTCTTTGACTGATTTCTGGGTTCTTTCAGCTTCTCCAGAGTCCAGTGGCTAGGAGACTGCCCAGCATATACTCTGTTGCCCGCTTGAAAGACTGGCTACATCATGGAAATAATCTCTTTAAAATTCTCGCCCTGAGGGGACTGCACTATCTTATCAGACACCAGAATTTGGTAGGAGGGGCCCCAGACCACCGACTCATAAGTCACAAATAAACATACCCCAGAAAGATACACAGGAAAACTGGTAACAGCTGAGGAGGAGAATTGGGTAGCCTAGGTACATGAGTGGGTGGGAGTACATACCTTTGCACCATTTGAAATGTATACCTGGGAAATATGCAAATATAAATTTTATAAAATAAAAAGGCCAACCCACACATATTCATACTTGAAACCTGCAGTTTGTGTAGGTTGCAAGTCCTTGTCATCACAACCTGGGCAACATTCGCATGTTCTTTTATGCCTTGTACCACGTTGCCTTATCACCTAAGACAGGAGTCACTGACATTCATGCTGAAAGCTCATTTTCCAGAGGCCAAACTAGACACTAAGCCAGGTCAGAAAATTAACCCTTGAGGCTTCCATGTTATCACTTCAGTTCTACTTCTTTTACTTCAAATATAGGGACTGGCAAAAGTAGGCTTACAGTTGAGAGTACACAAAACACAGAGTTAATAAAGCTATTGTAATAATCACAACCTGCACGTCTTTTTCCATACGAACAACTGTAACCCTACTTTTGCCTGCCCCTGTATATATCTGAGACAAATTCTGGTTGACTGGATACATGAATATTTGTGGCTTATTCTACTTACTTTTTACATGTATGTTTTAAACTTTAAAACCCTGAGACTGCTCCCTTTTGGGGGTTTCAGAAGAGCAGAATCCCAAGTGAGAATGGGAAGGACCCTGCCAATTTCTGCTTGAGTTCCTCCAGGGAATTGTTTAGCCTCTGTTTGAATACCTGTCATGCTGGGAAACTCGCTGTGACCTCAGCTAGCTTTTCCACTTTCTCTCACTATTAGCTGAGCCATTCCTTACATAAAGCCCAAGTCTGTATCGCTGGACCCTCACCTGGCCCCACTTCTGCCCTGAGAGGTGTCACAACAGCTCTGCTCCCTTCTCTACATGTCAGCCCTGCCAACACTAGGAGAGGGAAGCCATGCCTTGCTTACCTCTGTTCTTGACTAGACTGTGCTACCAAAAATTCAGTCAGCACCGGGCACTGAGCAAAGGCGGGGAGCCCTACTTTGATACCAGATGCAGTGCTGTCGGGAGAGGTGGTGATGCGCTTGCTCCCTTTGGGCACATAGAGGGAAGACATCAGGAGCCTGTTGCCGTGCCTCTTGGACCGGTTGTGTGAAACAGACGAGAAGATTGTTTTGCTGGCCATCCAGATACTCCTGCTGCTCGTTAGGACGATGGATGTCTCCACACTGACTGCCATGATGAGGACGCTGTTCTCCTTATTTGGTGATGTAAGGCAATGAGAAAGGACAGCCTTTCCTAGGGGGAGGGCAATCGGCATAACAGCAAACAGAAGTTGGGATAATAATAAACACACTCTATTTTGTATAGTAGTTTTTATGTTCAGAGCACTTTCAAATCTCCTGTTAGGGCCCTTCCAGGTAACCCGTAATGTTGGTACGGTTGGTATTACTGCTTTTCACATTTTAAAAAATGCCTCTGAGACAGCCAGCCAGTGTGGCTCAGTGAACCAGGAGGTCACAGTTCAATTCCCGGTCAGGGCACATGCCCTGGTTGGGGACTTGATCCCCAGTAGGGGCGTTGCAGGAGGCAGCCGACCAATGACTCTCTCATCACTGTTCTCTCTTCCTCTTTCTGAAATCAATAAAAACATATTTTAAAAAATAAAAATAACACCCCCTCCAGACATAGAGACTCGTCAAGGTACTCCCCTACTTCATGGGATGGGGGAGGGGTTTCTATAAGAAAAGACATTATCCTTCCTTTCAAGTAACAATCAGGACTGGGTCAAAATGGACTGGGTCAAGACTATACACATGTCCCCATCCCAAGTCACAAAGATTTTTCAAAAAGAAATGCACGGAGTGCAATGAGCCACATCCTTCCTTGGAAGAGTCAAATATGCCAAAGATGGGATTCTGAATTTCAGCAAAACAGCCATGTGGATGTTTAATACCAGTATCAGGCACAGGGCGTGATGACTCCAGGTGGGACTGTCCCCATTTCTTACTTGTAAAGTGAGAGAACAGGGAGTACAAAGCAGCAGGTCTTGCTATCTCCACATTTGTTTTCTTGCCCTTGGCTACCTACAAGCTAAACAGCTTCATGTTGGGATGGGCATTTCAACCAACCTGGAGCTCTTACAAGTTTAGCATGAACACTCTCAGTGAGTCGCTTCCCCTTGGATATTCCCTTCATAGGTGAGACCTGATGTTTGTTGTTTCTCCATGACCCTCTTTGGAGCCTCCATAAAGTCTGTGAAAGACACAGATAAGAAAGGTGTAGAGAGCCAAGTCCTCGACAGCTTGGTCCCACTACTTCTGTATTCCCAGGATGAAAATGATGCAGTAGCTGAGGTAATGCCTACTGTTGACTTTTTTTCTGGATTTTACTTCAAATCCAGAGCCAAATCTGCAAGTAAGAGTTCATGTCTTTGAGGCAGGGATTTTGTGGTACATCTTTATTTCTCATTTCCTTCTAATTATCTTAAGTGAATTGTTTAAAAAATACTATCTCTGTAGCAAATTATAGCCCTTTGTGGGTAAGAACGAATGTGTTATACCTTTTTGTAGCCCAATCCCAACATTCAGCCCAGCACAGAGTCTAAGCTACAGTGTCCAATTCAACAAACTTTTTTTTTTAAAGATTTTAAAAAATTGATTTTAGAGAGAGGAAAGGAAGGAGGGAGGGAGGGAGAAAGAGAAACATTGATGAGGGTCCCCCTCCCCCTGCACTTGCCCCAACCAGGACTTGAACCCGGTTTGGTGCATCAGACTAGGCTCCAACCAACTGAGCCACACTGGCCAGGGCAACAAACTTTTAATTGACAACAATGATAATATTCTTTTTCTTCTTTCATTCAAGAACTGCCTCTCAGCCTTGAGACAAAGACTTGCATTGAGGTTAAGTGAGAAACAGGAGCTTCTCTGACAATCTGGAGAAGCGTTTGCTCTCCTTAACCTTCTCGGAGGTTCTGCCATAAGAGTTGTGAGTAGGATGTCCTCATGTTTAGTACTTACTGTCCCACGTCTCCGAAGCCCATTCCAAGATGCTAACTATAAGCACAGCTACAGCAAACCAGAGAAGTAGGTTTAGTCTTCAAGGATTCTGGAAAAATGCGGGAGCTCTCACCTACTTGTGCTCCTTACAGAGTGAGAGATCAGGCTCAAAAACAGGATTTAAGGTCATGGTAGACCTTAGCATCTTGTTCCATGGAAACTTTTATGGCCTTGTAGCCATAAATAGGAAATATTTCAGACCCCAATAAAGTATAAAGCAGAGCTTCCCAACTGAGTGATGGGAAAGTATGCCATGTAGGGGTTACAGATATATGAAGGTATTGATCCTCCAACCCCACCCAGCCTTTGACCATCAGGCAAGGCCTGGAGCAGTGGACGCTCTGGGCTCATTTTCCTTCAAACCATGAGCAACCTCTAGTCACCTCCTCAAGGCTCCCCAGTGGGTTGGCCTAAGCAGAGAGGAGGGTCCAACACTAAACAGGTTAGGAATCACTGATACACAAAACATAATAAGCACCCATACATCTACCACCCAGCTAAGAAATTAATCAAGCACCTATTCCCAACTGAATTCCCGTAAAAACTATCATCCTGAATTTTACTTTTATCATTTCTGTGGTACTTTTCATGCTTTAAAACCTTATATATAAAAATATTTTATGTGTTTGTATCATTTATATATCAGCAACTTTTTGTTTAACGTTATACTTACAAGATCCATCTGTTGTATAGCTCTACTTCATTTTCACTGCTGTGTAGAATTTCACCATGTGAGTATCCTACAACTTATCCCACACTCCTATTCCTAGACATTCAGATTTTCAATTTTTCATTACTACTTTGCTGCAATGAGCATTCTTGTACATACTTCCTTATGTACATGTGTGAGTTTCTTGAGGGCATATACCCAGTAGAATATCTGGATATCGTTAACTTTACCAGATCTTTACAAACTGCTAAACAAAGTAGGTGAACTACTTTGTATTCCCATCAGTCCCCAAAGGAATTTCCATGGCCCAAGTATCTAGTGGCCCCAAAATACTTGCTTGGAGTCATCAGAAGTGTTCTATGGTGCATGGGAGGCACTCTGAGTGCAGTGCACAAGGAAGAGGTCCACTCGCTCAAGTCTGCTCAAGTACCTGGACCAGGAAAGGATCAATACGCTCCAGAGTTCCTTCTAAGCCAGAGATCCCACAAGGACTGTGAGGAACTACACCTTCCTGTGTAGAGTGACAGAAAAATGACACAGGAGCAACAAGTGGGCGTAGGAGCCCTCTCTCTGGAGCACGGGGTAGTGGGAACTACGGAATCTCTGGTCTGGGATTTACACCTGGTAGCTCTCACTTTTACCCTAGACCAGTGGTTTCTACATGCTCCCAAGAACCCCACAGGTTTTATGGATCCCCTTTAGAGGGACTGTGAGGAAGTTGAGGGAGGGCAGGACTCCAGTTCCTTTCTACCCCTCTCGCTTCAACCAGGATAATTCTGAGTTTATCAGCTTTTCACATTGGACTTCAGTGTGTGTTATTTGAAGAAGTGTTACCTGAGGTAAAAAATGTTTGAGCCCTGGACAGTGTGGCTCAGTTGGTTGAGTGTCGTCCAGTGCACTGAAGGGTTGCTGGTTTGATTCTCGGTCAGGGCACATGCCCAGGTTTCTGGCTCAATCCTGGGTCAGGGTGTGTGCAGGAGGCAGCCAATCTAAGTCTCTCTCACATCAATGTATGTTTTTTCTCTCTCTCTCTCCTTCTCCTTTTCTCTCTCTAAAATAAAAACATAAAACTAAATGAAACTGCATTAAAAAATTTGAAAATACTGATTTGTGATAACCCTTTTCACAGGAGAGCAGGCGAGTCCTAACTACATGCGCCCAATTCCTGAAGTGGAAGCTGCCCCAACGAGTGTACTGCAAAGATCCCTGGTACATCAACCCTAGAGAAGTTGAAACAATCTGCAAATTCTTAGTATGTGAGAAGTAATGGTTTTGTTAACTCTTTAATATACTGACTTTTTTTTCAGATGTAATTTTAAATGAGAAGTTGATATCTATGAACTTTTTTGTACTGTGAATCTACAGTTTCCTCCCAACTGAGTCACAAATACACTATTACCACCCTCCCTCACAGAGAAGACTGGTGAATTCTTGGGACCCCCACTATTCTGGGTCAGGCTACATACAGTCAAGCTGATAGTACATGCTCAAATAACTACTTGCGGAGTGAACTGAAAGGGAGTTGTGCATTGCCGTTACAGTGATCTCTAATCCTGTCCTTGGATATAGTGGATGGTTTTACCATCCATCAGAGCATGTTCAGGGAGCCCCAAGCAAGGGCTGCCATACTGTTGCTGCCCATGCAGCATGATGACAGCGTGCCACTGGCTCTGCGAGGACCCTGCCGGCATCCTTTCTCCCCACAAACTTGACAATGGGCGCAGTAGCCAATCTTAGGGGTAAGCTTGAGCCAGATCAGCCTCAGGCCATCCTTTTTTTTTAGACGGCTGATTCTAAAACCACTGGGATCCTAATGAAGACCCTAGGACTTGCCCTGGCCAGGTGGCGTGGTTGGTTGGAGCATTGTCCTATGCACCAAAAGGTTGTGGGTTCGATTCCCGGTCAGGGCATATACCTAGGTGGCGGGTTCAATCCCTGGCTGGGGCACATAAGGGAGGCAACCAATTGATGTTTCGCGCATCAATGTTCCTTTCTTTCTCCCTCTAAAAAACCAAACCAGCCAAACAAAAAACACTAAAAAAACCATATCCTAGGGTGAAGATTTTTTTAAAAAGACCCTAGGACTGACTATTCCCAGAGATCTTCCATATGTGCAGCCTGTTGAGGTCTAGTCTCCTCTCATCAGACTTACAGAGCTAGCGAGCCCCACAGTACCCTTGTGTCAGGCTTTCCTCTGGGGATTATCTCTCTGACCTGCAGCCAAACTTATAAGTGATGCACTGATGACAGTATTTACAGCAGGAAATTCAGTGTTCTCAGTGGATAAGACTAGAGATTATCCATGTTGAATCAGAAGTCTTATGAGAACCAATTCCTGTTCTCCTCCTGTCCCCAAGGTACCTATCCTTGTAAGAGATCCACTGAGAGGTGAACTCACTCATCCAATAAGCGTAACACATTCAATGTGCAACAAACTGTGGAGAACCCAGAAACGTGCCAAGAATTAAAACTTCCTATGGGAAGCTTGCAAGCTAGTAAACGAGATAAAACCTCTGTGCAATATTAAATAGAAACTCAAGGTGGAAAATATGTGCCAAGAGAGGAGAATCTGCAAAATGCTCAGAGCAAGGTTAGGTCAGGAAGGCTGGAGCTGCCAGGGAAGAGCTCACAGGGAGGCAAACTCAAGGCGGAGCTTAGAGAAGGGAAAAGTCTCAGGTGCAGGGAAATGAAGATGGATTTAGAAGCGTTACAGGCACAACATGCAGCATGAGTGGGTGTGAGCAAGGTGTATTCAGAGGATTGAACTCTGTGTCGGGGATTGTTGTGCATAATATTCGTTGAGCAACTGTAGTTATTTCAAGTATATATGTATATATGACCTTGTCCCTGACTCTGGAAACTACAGTGAGGCTCATAAAAACAGTGCTACTTCACTCCTTTATACTCTTACTTTTTCCCCACTTAGGGAAAAAAATGCAAGGGGAAAGTTAACATCCTAGCCCAAACACTGATGTTCTCCAAGAATGCAAAACTTCCTATCAGAAGAGCAGCAGTCTTGTTTGTAGGTACAAAGAAAATCCTTTCATTTCTAGTCACTTCTATCCTGAACTTTCCCAAATTGTGTTGTTGAATATCCCCACTCTCTATGAGGGTGACCTTGAAAAGTACTTCTATGGAGAAAGGGGCTATGTCATCTATAGGTAATTATCAAGTACTTGTAAATCAGTTTAGAATCTAATTATCAAAGGCCAGTTCTGTCAGCTGCTTAGCGACAAAGTCCGATTACAGACTCACTGACTTTATTCTGCATTTAGGGCTATTTTCAAAGTACTTGGACCACAACGAGCTCAGGATGACGGGTACTAAGTGGATAGAGGATGGTAAGTGATAGCATGCTTGGGTTTGGGGTGCCCCCTCTTTTGGAAGCTATCTGTGGCAGTCACTGGGCAGGCACTATGGCAGAGCTGAGACTGAGAACCAGAAAGCCTGACTTTTGTGGTAAGTGGAAGCCTTTGGAGACTTCAGCTGAATGACAGTCTTGTCCCAGTCCAATTCCCTCTTTAGAAAAGAACATGACCCTATTTGTCTGGCAACCAGCTTTGATGAATTGTCTCAGGGACAGTTCCTGAACTTTTTCAGGAAATAGGACATTACCTAATAATACTATCTTTGTAAGTTATGATGACACCTCACAAGTACCACACAGATGACTGCAGCACTATTTTCTATAAGTGGTTGTCCTGTAAGGTGGTAGGACTTGTTAATGAAGATGCTTATAGTCATATAAGACAACCATCATGCAAATGGTTTTTTGAATTGTTAGTAAGTGAAAACTTTCCATAATTGTACAGCTTTGAGGATTTAACACTCAAAGAATTATTTATTCCCACTTAAGAAGTAGACCTATAATTTAAAAATGCCATTGCTAACTCTCACAATCCAAAAGCATATACTTTGAGAACCAAATTAAAATCCTGGATAATTCACTGCTTTTAAAATAAAAATATAGAACTGGTAAGATAGCCAAAAGCTAAAGCTTATTTAGGAAAATTATGCCACTTTTCTCTAAGGTCTCCTTCCCCACAGATATCAGAAGCAAAAAAATACGAAGGTCATGTAGATTATTTTATTCTATGAGGTAAGATTCTACATGGTTGATTCTACTCAATTAAAAGCAAATTATTTTATTATTATTATTATTTTTTTTAATCCTCACCTGAGGATATGTTTTCCATTGCTTTTGAGAGAGAGTGGGAGGGAGAAAGAGAGAGAAACATCGATTGGTTGCCTCCCGCACTCACCCCTACTAGGGTGAGGGATCAAGCCTGCAGCCGAGGTACGTGCCCTTGGCTGGAATCAAACCCAGGACCCTTCAGTCCACGGGCTGACGCTCTAACCACTGAGCCATACTGGCTAGGGCAAAAACACTATTTTCTAATATAAAACACTGAGGAATCAAAGTTCCTTTTCTAAAGTTGTATATATAGAAAATCTAGAATATGTATATAAATTATATACATATGAAAATGAACCATATAAATTGCCATTTTGTAGGGCAAAAACAGTCAAATATCAGCAGTCTTATGTGGTTCAACCCAATGGAATAACGTCACACTATTCCCTCCCTAACAGTGGCAATCTGTTCTGGAAACAGGGTAGAACACCCTAGCACTCTTTTTGAACATGCTTATGTCCTTTACCACAGGCAATTTTAAGCAAATTTAAACAAAAATATAAAAAATTAAAATATCAATTTAAATTAATTTCATGACAAAAGTTTCAAGTCCTCTGAATTCCAAAATTGATGCCTGTTTCCTCATGTATTCTGTGGAACGGAACGCGTAGACAGATCTTAAGGCAGGAACCGAAAGAAACTAAAAGCTAGTCAAGTGGTCCATTTTGGAAATAAACACGATGAATTTAAAGGCTAAAATGCTACTTAAAAAATAAAAAACTCCTGATTATGAAGAAGTCCTGAGCATTTTTGAGACCTTAGAGAATTAGAAATTGGCTGGGTAGCTCAGCTGGTTAGAGCATTGTCCTGAAAAGCCACGGTTGTGGGTTCAATCCCTGGTCAGGACACGTACAAGAATCGACCAGTGATGCATAGATAAGTGGAGCAACACATTGGTGTTTCTCGCTTGCTCTCTCTCCCCCTTCCTCTCTCTAAAATCAAATATTTTTTAAAAAGAATAGAGCCTTTTCTAATATGGTACATAGATCCATAAAGTAAAAGAATGATAGATTCATCTACGTAAAAATTTTAAAAACCAACTTTCAAACAAAAAGTAAAAGGTATAGGGGGATGAATAGTGATGAAAACAAATTAAAAATGTTTAGAAAGTGACAGACAAAACTGAGAAATAAACAATTATATGGGGGGATATATTTGCCATATGATAAAGGGTTAATATCCTTAAAACAATACTTTCTCAAAAGCAAAGTGGCAATCAATATGAATAAGCAATTCATATAAGCAAATGGCCAACAAATGTATTAAAAATATTCAATATTACTAGTTACCAAAGTTTATAAAACAAAACGATGAGATACCGGTATGTGTTTTACTATCAAAATGGCAAAGATTATTGCCCTGGCCAGTGTTGCTCAGTGGTTAGAGTGCTGGCCCATGCACCTAAGGGTCTCAGGTTCGATTCCCAGTCAAGGGCAAGTACCTGGGTTGTAGGTTCACTCCCCATCCCCCTGTGATTGAGGTGTCTGCGGGGGGCAACCAGTCGATGTGTCTGTCTCACATCAATGTTTCTTTCTGTCTCTCTCTCCTCCTTCTTTCCTCCCTCCTTCCCTTCCACTCTCTCTGAAAAGCAATGGAAAAATATCCTTTGGTGAGGATTAACAACAACAACAAAAAGGCAAAGATTATTAATTAATACTTAACACTGGTGAGTAAAGAGAAAACTGACATCATACACTGTGCTGGTATGAGCATAATTTGATACAATTTTTTTATAGGGAAGTTTGATAATATGTATCAAACCCTTTAAATAAAAACATATGTTCACTTATAAATCCCATGTCTAGGAATTTAATGTATGAAATTAGCAGAAATCATTATAGGAATGTTCATTTCAGTTTACTTAAAATAGCAAAAATGGGAAACATCCAAAATTAGAAACAAGGAAATTACAGCATATTCATACTGTACGAACGTATGTAGCTGTGAGCAATGTAGGAAAAGGGAATAAATGATTCAAGAGGAACCTCTAGGACCAACACAGCAACTTAGAAATTAACAGTATTATACAAAACTTAACAGGTCCAGATAATCTGACTTTACGTAGACTACTTGGCAGTGTGATTAGTGTAAAGGAGAAAATATTTGGCAACTCAGAAATGAGTTGAGTTTTGTAGGTCAAAACTGGAATTGATCTACAGACTTTCAGATAGAGGCTTGGAAAATGTTAGCCCTTCATCTCGGCTGCTGTAGGCACGTGGGCTGTTTGGTGTCTGAACCAGTGATCATTTCCCATGGTCTTCACCTCCCGCCTGGGTTTTCTTGCCACTTAGATCTGAGACAACTGCTGCATGACCCTGAGCCCTCTCTGCACATCATCGCCTCCCAAACCTTGCTACAAATCCAGAAGGTGGGGGCTGAACCAGATCCTGAGCAGACAGTTTGCAGGTTGAGGAAGCTCATGGGTTGTCTTCCTACCTAGAAACGCAAGGCAAGCAACATCAGGTAAAAACTAATCCTTTCAGAAACTGCAGAAGCAACTAGTGCTCCATTTTTTCCCTCAGACTTAAATGCCAGCATGAAGCTACCTCCACCCATTTAATTACCTCAGAACATACTTTTTGCTGTCAAAACCTTTAAGGAATTAGAATATGTAAGAGAGAACAGCTCTTGGTTTGGCAGGTAGAGTGAAAAGGTACTGAGTTTTTGAGGCATGCCAGAGCATCCACAAAGTCCCAGTTTGATAAACGTGTAGGAGAGCTTTCAAAGAGATCCTAAATAAATGTTAATGTTGCAATGTGTGTATTGTTGGCTCCTTTGTGAAGGCTCAGTCTACTTGTCAACAATCTAAGGACAACAGCCAGTTCTTATAGTTTGATATTGATGTATTTTTATAAAATTCCTACGTCTTTTCTTCCTTTCTTTTTCCTTCAAAAACCTTCAAGCAAGAAACTTCTGAAGCAGTGTAACGCTAAATCTATCCCAATATACATGAAGTTTCCACTCCTTACTTCCCCGTTTTCATTTTTCTGATTCCCTCTCCTACAACTGCTGTCAGACCCTATTATTTGTTGGGCACCCACTGTCTGCTTTAAGCAAAGGAGAAGCTTTTCTTACAAGCAGAAATTTTCTGAGAAAGAGATTAATCTGTACTTATCAATCCTTCGATGAGCTGCATGTAGAAATGGTCATTATTGCTCTAATTCCATCTCTTGTTTGGTTGTGGAACATAAGCAGAGAGCCAGAGCTGAACTATCCAGGGCAATGGAGAGGCCTCATAGTGTGAGAGAAGAGAAAGGAAAGGAGGTAACTAGCATATGAAGAACAGACACATCCAGTGGCGAATTGCATTAAGTTTTTGTTGTATATTGAGCAACATGAATCTTTACCGCCCTATCTCCCCCACCTTTCACCTCCATCCCTCTGCCATGACACTGTTAGGAACAAATTTCTCCATGATTCATGGTGAGTTACATGTTTTGAGGGATGTGACGGCATAACAAGTGTGGCTTCAAGAGGATCCCTGCTCAAGAGAGGTCTTCATGTTTGGGACTAGCAGGCAGGAGCTGAGCTAAAATGCAGGCCCCAGCTGTCTGGTGAACTAAATCTTCACCTTGAGCTAAACTTCAGCGCAGCAAGCCCATTGGACTTACATGTACCCCACACTGCTTCCTGCTTGGTCCCACAGCATGCACCCAACTCCACTCCATGCAACTCCACTATCCATTTTGAGGATTATTGAATAAAAACGACTAAGGCTTATTGAATATTGGCAATGAGCCAGACTCTAAATATATTATGATTAACTCTTTTAACCCTCATAACCACTCCATGTATTATCTCCATTTTGCAGAAGGAGAAACTAAGGAACAGGACATGAAAGGGACTTGCTCAAGCTTACACAACTAGTAAATGCTAAACTCAAGTAGTCTGGCTCCAAAGCCCTTGATTGGTCTGCTCTGCTCCTCTACAATCTCGTCTTTCCCTCTAATGTGACTAAATGTAGATTTATTCTACAATTAATCTCAGTTGCTGGACTCGTGACCCAAACTCATACTCAAATAATGTTGTAAGTTATTATTGAATCTCAAATAATAAATACAAAGTTTAAACACATCTTATATAAAAGTTAGTGTACCTCATTTTGTTTTTTAACGGGATAGGATGCACATCCTACACTGAGGAGAGAAGAGTTAAGAGCAAAAGTGGTGGTTATTCTTGAGGAATACTTCTGAGTCCTTGGTTTCATCTCATGAACTACCTCTGTCTCACAGCAGAAAAACAGACATTTAGGTTTAAGATGCTGTTTAAACCTCCAGTGACAAGAGGTTGAATGAGCCCTTTCTCTCTGCTCATATTTAACCCCTTTCCCTTCAGGCAGATTTTTATTTTCTGAGAAATATCACCAACAGGAAGGAACAAGCACAAAAATGCTTATCTTATTTATGTTTTATTGTTTTAAATTTCACAGAGAGAAGTCTCCACTAAGAGACAGAGGAATGCCCTTTGCTGAACTGCCTCAGCAGTTTGGGACGAGCTGAAGCAGCACTTGATGGTGATTACAATACCAAGTTCATTTATTCCAGATATCTCCATTATTTTTATACAAGGCTCTCCTCAGAGATAGGTTTATGTTTTTATGGAATTTTTTAAATGTATAAAACAAAAGTTTCTGGACATTTAATTTTGTTGTAATATGTTGAAATAGAAGTTCAATATAATTGAATATTATTTTGGCTTTATTTTTATTATATAGTATTAAAATCTATTATTCATTTACCCATTACTTGCCCAGCTGTCTTTATTATTTTAGATTTTCACTTTTTAAAATTGCTTTTCCTCCTTATACCGAGATACCTATTTTATAAGAAATTCATTTTTTCTCTTATTGGAAGATTAAACTACCGTGTAAATAAAAGATGGGAATGGGTGAGGGGAGAATCTCTCAGGCATCAGCCCTGGCAAATAAAACAGTACTAGGTACAATTATAAAATAGGCCAAATCTCCCTGTCCCTTCCAGCTTCCCCTCCTTCCAAGTTCTAGATTCCATGCTCCTTTTTCTCTCTTTCCCTCTTAGGAAAGGATCTGGTGAAATCACTGTTAGTGTGAGTGATTAATAACGCAAGACTTAATGAGGTTAACTCTTCCAGAGATTTTTGCTTTTTAACAAAGTACAGTCTTAAGTCAAAGGCATGAACCTGTGAGATCTTTTAGGCATTACTCAGCAGGATGGAGGAAGGAGGTATTTGGAGATGGACTTAGAGGTGATAGTGGGAAATAGAGATTTTCCTGTCATCCCTGAAATCATATAAGCAGCTGCTTTCCCTACCTCTGCCCAAACCCTCCTTAGAACTCAGCAGAGTGAAAGGATTAGAAAGAATAATTAACAATTGCCTTCTGTTATGCAAAACACAAAGGGAAGCAATGGATTCTATCGTTCTTGAAAAATGGAGATGACTGCCCAGCACATAGGATGGCTTCCCTTATTTAAATACCGAGTGCCAATTACTGAATGATTCAGTTATGTCTTCTATACTTTCTCTCACCCTAGAGTTTATCGTCCGATGTCCAAGGAAGACAGCACTGGTTTTAAATGGTTCCTGTGGATACTAATAATTATCCATCAGGACTCACATAACGGAAGCTGCCCCAGTGGCCCAACCCACATCACAAATCTCAAGTCAGCCTGCACTTACGGAAACACCTGTCAAGAAAACCTAACATACACCGGTCACAATCCTCCAACTCAGCTTTAGCCAGCTTACCTTACCCTAGAAAATAGGACCTGCTAGCCTTACAAGCAAATCCCTGACCTCCTAGCCAGGAACTGTGCTAGGTAATTAGGAAACATCAAGAAATAAAACAGAACAAGCCCTGGCTGGTCAGTTCAGTTGGTTGGAGCATCATCCTAATTCAAAAAGGTTCCAGGTGTGACCCCTGGTCAGGTCACACAGAAGGAGGAACCAATGAATGCATAAATAAATGTTTTTCTCTCTCTCTAAAAGTCAATCAATAAAAAAATTTTTGTAAAAGAAAACAGACAAAAAGATAAAACAAAAACAAACAAAAGGTTTTTTTTAAATTTAAAAAACCAAAGAAAAAATTTTAAAAAGTAGAAAAGTAAACTACAAAAACTGGAACAACAAATTGATGTTTCTCTCTCTTCTTTCCTCTCTCTCTAAAATCAGTTTTAAAAAATGCTGTTGCTATTCTGAAATATCTTCTTGCGACCAAACAGTGCCCTGGGCATAGATTTTTGACAGATAAAGACCTTAGAATTAACAGTTTTAAGTTAATTGATGTTTCCTGTTCTTTATCCAAAGTCTAAAGGAGATCCAAAAGTCATTTAATTGCCCTTGTGCGTAGGGCTGGTACTCCTTTCCCTGTGGGGACCCAGCTCAGGGACCACCACTTTTTTCCTTTGAGGAACAGGAACAGTAAGAATGATGAGGTCAGGACTTGCCCCTCCCCTACAACTATAGACATCTTTTTTTTTGACAATGATTAGGTGAGTAGTTTTTTCCTAAGAGGGCACATGCTGATCAAACACTTGCTTGAGAGGCATAGCAAAGTCAGATGACAAAAAAATTTTTTGAAAAAATTTCAAAATGAAATAGCCATTTTGAGAAAAATAATCAAAACTTTGTTGTATTTTCTTACATTTATTTTGTAGTTTAGAATTGTTTATATTTTGAATGACAGCTGGGAGAGTGTACATATAATCTTTTAGTCTTGGAGCTTCTAAAGGTCTTAATCAGGCTTTGGACACATGCTCTGGGGAACTCTGAAATATTAAACCGTAACAGGGAGGCTAATCATAGAGGCTATCACACAATGGGATCAGAATAGAAACAACCTTCATGATGTATGTGGATCAGAAATGAAGGCAGAGTAAATCTATTTCACTACTCATACTTCATTTTCTATTCAAAAAAGCTCAATTTAGAGTTAAATGGACATGCCACTGGATATCAAGAAAAAAGTAAAAACAACACAAATCCTGATAAAAAGTAGGGTGGGCGTGTGCATAAAAGGGATTTTTTAAAAAAGTATGCAGATGAGGCTTGGTCTGACGGATGTGTCTTCAATGCTAAGCTGCCTACATTTGATTCAAATGGTAACAGTGAACCCGTGAAGTACTGAGAAAGTGACATGATATAAATGCTGCTTGATATAAAAACTAGACTAGAAACTTAATGTAAAATGGATTGAGAAAGAAAAATATAAAATGTTGAGACAAATAGAAACCCGGTGGGGGAGGAATCCACAACCTTTAGTGATTAGGTGTAGGGGATAAAGGGGCAGGCAAGTCAGTGACAACAAAGGACAGCAATGGGCTTGTGTTTTTTGGTGAGTATGGCTGTACTGTTTATTGAAAACCAATGACAGTTTAGTTACCGTCCAAAACAGGAGTGGAAAAAAGGTACTGCTTAAATCTGCTTTATTTCATAAGGGATATAAGGGAGCTGAAGAGTATCTCCCTTTTATCTTGGCATCATTTCCAAGGTCTATATTTCCTAATAATTCAACTTAGGACAGTCTGAGAATTACAACATAGCAAAAAGAAATCACAGAAGCAAGTGATTAATTGGATGTAAAGAGTGACAGATCAGGTGAATCAAGAGATAGGAGATGAAATGGAAGGCTTTACATAGATAGGATATGACTTACTGAAAGTCCAAGTCCAGCCCTGAAAAGGAGAAAAAAAATGAATACTGTTCCTCAGTTTTTGTTTGGTGGATGACCTTCATGAGGTGTTTCTTTTCTTCTTGGATCACTTTCAAGCCAGCAATGCCCCTTAAGTTCAAGTCTAGATGATCTGAAAGTCACAGCAAAGGAAGAATGAGTATCTTGCACAGAGCAGGCATTCAGGAAACACTTATGGAATGAAGAAATGAAGGGTTTCCAAGAGTCAGTGTGCATAAATTGGGAAAAGAATCAGGAGGATCGGGTCTAGTAGTAAAGAAAAAATGGGCTATTGTACATATACTGCAACTCACTGCAAACTGAACTGCTAAAAAGATGAAAAATGAAGCAATCAATCTCTGGTTTTGTTTGGTTTATAATTTCTGAGAGCTGTTAACTGTTACCTTGGTTTTTTTAAGGCCAGAATTACTCTCTACAGTTCAGATCTTGGTGGCGGGGGGTGGGGGTGGGGTGTTTGTTAGATACTGCAAAGGCAAAAAACTTGAGGCTTCTCAGCTCTTGTTATCTTGTCCAGGACCAGCTATGAAAGCCAGGATCCCATGAGAAAGATATACCTTTATTCCATTTTTCCTCAAAAAATTCCAACTACAATGTCTGCATTTGACAGACCCAGTGATGTTTCTCAACAATGGTTCCAAACCTTTACTACTTTACTGTAAGTTGCTCCATTTTCCACTCAGTAGAACACCTGGCAGGACTGCTGAATCCAGATCACCTTCCAGACAGGAGCTATGAAGAGGAAGGCCAGGCTCTGGATTCCAGGCTTGCCCACCTTTTCCAGGGCCTGGCCACATCAATGATCTCTCACTCTCTCTTTTTATCTTCAGTCTCTCTCTGCCCGTTTCTGTCCATGATTACTCATATGCTTGTGTTTCCCCTATCATAGAAAATATCTTTTCTTTTGCTTCTTCTCCACAAAACTTTTTAAAGAGAAGTTTTTACTTCTTATCTCAACTTTCTGACCTTCCATTAGCCACTTGGCCATAGTAATATGGCCTCCATTCCCACTGAGCTAAAGAAAACTGCTCTGGCAAAGGTCACTAAATATATGAGTGCACTCTCTTGGGAGCATGCCTGTACTTTTCCCTTTCCCCCCTTTCCTCCCCCCAGGCACGTTACCTTTGCCTTTCTCTCTAAGCTCCAAGGGCCCTTCTTTTGCCTCTGTAACGTGTTTCCTGAGCCTACACAGCCCAACTGGCTCACTTAAAAAACACACACACACACACACAAAAAACCCAAAAAATATATGAATGCTAATATATGAAGTCTTTAAATTCTTCATCCTATTTGAATTTTCTGCAGTGTTGGACTCTGGAATACTTCTTTCCTGAGATACCTGCTCTTTGTTTTTATACCTCTCTGGCCAGTTTTTTCATTCACTCCTCAAATTCTGACCATCCCTGAAGTGATGGGTTTCCTAAAGTCTCTTCTCATACCAACACACTCCCTGATATGAATCTCCTCCTTTAGATTCAGGTTCTGCATGAATATTCTCAAATCCTCATGTCCTGGCTGTGTCCCCATTCCTGGAGCTCTCTCTCTTTGTGTTTTTAATTTTAAAACCGAACTTTATTTAAACTTTTGGGTTTTGAAGGCTAATAAATAATACACAATCCACCTTCTCTCAGACTAAATGTCAGAGGTCAGAGTTATGGGCTCTGTTCCAAGGCCTGGGAAGAGTCCTGCCTGCTGATCTGACACATACGTGGGGGCTCCTCTCCGGAGCCAGAAAGCACTAAGTCTCTTACAGCAAGCGATGGAGCTCTCTCTTAAAAAAGCAGTTTTATTAGAAAACAAATGAGCCACTACGAGATGACTTTCATCCATCTCACTTCCACTAATCCTGACATTTCTTTGCTGACAGGAAAGGGAGTTAGGAGGGCTGATAAGCCATGTTACAGACCCCTTGGCACTGGAGATAGACTGCCCATAAACAATCCTCTAAGTAAAAACTCATGGGAGGAGAGTTTCTGTGCAGACACTATGTGATGAGATGATCCTGAAGTCAGCTGCAGGAGCAGCTTCTAGAAGGAAGCCGAGTTGGAAGTATCACGTGGGGAATTCAGTTTGAGCTTTTTGGGGGGAGTTTGAGTTTTTACTCATTTAAGACCCAGCTCGCACCCAAGTCCCAAAGGGCCACCTTCCAGGGTCCGCTAGCTTCCTCTTTAAACTTCTGCAAGCATCCCAAACACAACAGTGAGAGAACTGCTCTGATCCCTCTGCCTATACTCCCATTCTAGTTCACAGCATCACCTTTCACCTTTTTTGGCCCAGATGGAAACCTATGTTATTGGGGACTCCTCCCTCTTCAGAAGTGCCCCCTTCAGTTCTAGGCCAGAGAACTTTCTCAGGATGACTCAGCCAGCCCCCTACCAACTCCCTCCCTTTAGTCTCTACCTCATCCAACCCGTGTGTTACAATGTAGCCAGAGAAACCTGTCCAACACATACCCATCATTCGTCACCATCTTTTAACAACCCCCCACCCCCACCCCACCCATGAATAACGTCCAGGCTTTTAGAGGGGCATAGGAGGTGATTTGCAGCCTACCTGCCCGGTCTTCCATTTTCATCTCTGGCGACTCCTTCCCTCATCCAAGCAACAATGGACTGTACTTTTTCAGACACACCATGCTGATTATGTACGGAGTACCAACTACCAACCAGGCGCTCCTCTAAACTTTGCAATGTAGTGAGCATAAAAGGAAGGCCGTGCTCTCGTGCAACTCACGTTTTAGTAAGAAGGGCTGGTGAATGCACAAATAAGATAATCTCAGACAGTGATAAGGCGCTAGGAAGACAGCGGGGTGGAGGGTGAGGTCAGTTATCCTAGACAGTGCTGAGGGAGGGACCGAGAAGACAACACTGAATTGAACTTGAACCATAAGGAGGAGCCAGACCAGCAAAGATCTGGCCGAGGGTGTTTGGGGCCATCTGATCAGCACGTGCGAAAGGCCCCGAAGCAAGCCCTGGCTGGGCAGCCGGGCACGGTGAAGGTTCCGGAACAAAGACGCCAGGCTGAAGGTCGCCGCACACCTGGGGGTGGAGCGACGCCCTAAACCGCGCGGGGCCGGTCACGGGGGCCTGCAGGGCGCTGAGAGGAGTTTGCACCTCGTTCCACAGGCAAGAGGAGTCTTTTGAAGGATTTTTAGTGAAGGACTGGCGCGCTCTGACTTACCTTTTTTAACGAGCTCTTCGGGCTCCTCCTTTAGAAGCGGGGGTTTTGGCGGAGCAGAAAAGGAAGCTCCAGAACCAGTTCCACGCCTGCAGGCTTACGCTCCGGCCACTCCTCAGCCTGCAATGACTTCCCTGGGACAGTCCCCAGGGTTCGGGGAGCCGAAACGGGGCCCCCCTTCCTGCGTTTCTCTGAGTCCAGACCAAGCCACGTTGAACGACCCAGAAGACATGAGGAGGCGTCCCCTAATATCCTTGCTTCACCAACACCTAGCTTTAGTCCTAAAACGCACCCCTTACTGGGCGCAGGAGACCCTGAGGAGAATCCAACAAGCCCACTCCCACCTCCACCCCACCGCGTCCCGCTGTGGAGGAACCACTTTTTTCTGTTCCTTCCTCCATCTCCTAACTCAAGGGGCAAGTCTCAGACTGCGTTTGGCGCTGCGGAGCAGTGACACACCAGGCCCACAGGTTGGCGGGACAGAGGAGCCTTCTTTCCAAGATGAACAAGGCCACCTTGTCATAAACACCCCAGCCCTCCCCAAGCCAAAGGGGCGCCGACACCAGGGCGGCGCCCCGGGCTTCAGGGCAGAACGTGGACTACAACTCCCAGCAGTCTCCGCGCAGAAGCGCTGATCCCTCCGCTTACAATTTGTCCCGCCGGCAGCGCCCGCCGCTGCTCGCCCAGAGCCAAATCCAGGTGTTTTTCGGGACAGGAGTTCCGTCTTCTTATCACATGTCCGAAGAGGGGCCGCTTGGAGCCCTGGAGGAGAGACGGACTTTTTTTTAGGAGAAACGCGGATGTAGACCATCGGGGAGCCGTCGCCCCAGCGCTGCGATTTTCGCGCGCTTTCGCGCAGGTGGTTGTGGGTTGCGCGCCCAGGAGCGAGAAAGGAGCGGGGGTCTGAGGTCGCGCCGCCCGCGGGGCCTTCGAGGATGTTCGAGGACGAGCCGCGCGCCGAGGGGGCGGCGGTGGTCGCCGCGGCCGGGGAGGCGCTGCAGGCC